GAAACGACGTTTGGGCTTGTAAATCGTCGGGCAGACCGCGCAGCATCTGGAGTACTAGTTGGTGCTCAGACACAGGAGCATCAACGTCAACTAACCAATCTGCAATATTCCTGAGCTCTTGACAATATGTAGCCATAGGGGTAGATCCTTTGACGGTGGTGCGAAATTGATGCTCGAGTTGCATGGCTCGAGCGTGCTTATTGTCGTGAAACAAATCATGAATCATCTTCCAGAGGGCAGATGCAGTAGAGACAGAAGAGAGAACAAGATCAGACACCTCATCTGTGATGGTGGAGAGAATCCATCCCTGAAGAATAGCATCAAGTTGGAACCATTCGTCGTCGTCGTCGGAGATGGGAGCAATAGAGCCATTGAGATAGCCATGGAGATTGAACCGCCGTGCAAGAAGGAGAAACAAGCGGCTCCACTTTTTATAGTTTGGTTGAGAAAAACTGAGTTGAATTGGAACATGAAGTTTGACATTTGAGACGGAGAAAGCAAGATGGGGAGGTTTTGGGCTAGAGGATTGAGATGTGATCTCACTGTCCGTCATGGTGGAGGAGGAGGAGCCGGCCGAGAGAGGAGGGAGGAGGTGCGGCGGCGCTGCTGCTCGGCAGAAGGGGGAGGCCGAAACTAGGGGGAGAGAATTTTAGGGTTTTTGGTGTGGCTCCGATACCATGAGGAATTGTATTTTCCTTAGATTAATTATGTGAGGAGTACATGTATATATATACAACATCTCAATCCTAATTATGGTAGGAGAGGTATTCTAGGAAAGCTATACAAGTATGGAAACAAATCATAAGACAATAATATTAAATATATTTAATATATTTAACAATAATTCGTTTAGTGTTGCTTATATTTTGGGACGGATGGAGTATAAGAATAGTATACAATTTTTTTAGCACAATATTATACTATTAAAAGTGAAATTTGTACTAAATAATACTAAAAAATATATCTATTTCCAATATAATACCTAAAAATTTTTATTCCATAAATAGTACTTGAAAAATGCTTAGTGAAGGTGGACATTTATTTTGAATAATGTCCAGTACTGTAGATATTTACTTTGAAATTAGCGAGTTTTGGGTTGTCGTTAAGTTGCTAACGACGGGTTAACAGAGACGCATGTTTTGCGCAACAAAATGAAAGTTGAGATTATTTTTGTTTTTTTTTTAATTTTAAAAATTAATTTCTACCTCCATTTCTTTTTTAAAAAAATATTAGTTTTATCTTAGAAAAAATTAAAAAAATATAAAAAATAACTAAAATGAGAAAAATAATTAAAACCATACAAAATTAATGAAATAAATAAGTTAATCAATAGAAATCAAATTGAAACTGATAAGGAAATAAAAGAAATATATATGGAGTGGTGGTTTTTAACATTTTACGTAATATACACAGTCTTAATGTACTACTTATTTTTTGAAAGAACAGAGTCATCGATAAAGTTAGAATTATTCTAGATATTCTTTTCTAAATATAAGTAGTAGTACATTAATACTTTGTATAATGCCTAAAATATTAAACCCACTGCTCCATATTTTTATTTTCTTATTATCAGTTAATTTCAAGTTAGTTTCTATTGATTACCTCATTTATTTTATTAATTTTGTATCGTTTTAGTTACTTTTCTCATATTTTTATTTTTTATATATATTGTTTTTATTTTTTTTTAAAATAAGACTAATCTTTAAAAAATAAAAAGAAATGAATAAATGATGGTGGTAGAAAGTAATTTTAAAAATTTAAATGAAAATTTCAAAAAAAATTTAAAAATGAAAAATCATCAAAAATAATCTCAATTTTAATTTTGTTGCGCAAAATAGTCGTTCCCGTTAATCTGCTATTAGAAGCTTGACAATAATCTAAAGCTCACAAATTTCATTAATATTAGGATTGGTATGCATTACAGTGAAAAGTAAAATTTTTTTTGAAAGTTGAAGTAAAATTGGAATTATTCTGAATAATTTTTCTATTATTAAAATACAACTATTTATCAAATAATGACTACAATTTCTAACGCTAACGCTAGAAATTATTTGCACTGTTAAAATTTTATCCAAAACACTTACACTAATCTCTAACGCTATTCCCATACAAGCCTTATATGGAGTATAATTAGAAATAGAGGTGAGATATTAGGGAGACCGAAACAAATACTCCGTACCATTTTCATTTTTTAGTCAACATTTCTATCTTAACGTACACATCATTTTCCATTTCAAGTGCTTTTCTTTTTCAGCTACAAATGCAAAATGTTTCCCAAAACCCAAAACTCCCTAAACAAAGAAATCTCCGCAAGATAGAGACTTTCTCCGCCAATGGATATCGCCCCGATTCGTCCTTGCCGGTATGCCCTAACTCCACATTGCTCCAGGGGTCTTTCTGATCTGGGTCTCAATTATTTTCCCTGATCTTCCAGATCTCTGAAATTGAATTTCATTTATTGGCTGTGCACTGTTACTGTAGAGTGTTTTTATCTGTATGGGTCTGTCTTTGACCAGAAAAAGAGAGGATCATCAAAAAAGCGAGTCGCGAGTGAGATAGGGAGAATAAAGGGCCGTCCCCTTCCAAGGAGAGAGTCCCTGTCAATGAAAGCGAGATTCTTGATACCTCCATTGCAGCTCTTGCTTTTCTATTTCATCACATTTCTCTGCAATTTTTGAGTTACAGAGGTTGTGTTTTGGTGGGGGCTTGAGCTGATTCACAATGCCTATGTATATGCCCTCTGGGAGGGGCGGCGCGGTAGGTTTTGAAGGTGGCGGTGATACCCACGTTCTAGATCTGGACACGGCGGTCAAAGATGGAGTCTTGGGCGGCGGCGGCGGCGGTTTCGATGGGCCTGTCGAGTTCGGGGAGAAAATGGATCTGAAGAAGGTGATTAGGGAGCTGAATTTGTCCGAGGTTCCGTCCGTCTTCATCTGCCCAATCTCTCTCGAACCTATGCAGGACCCAGTGACCCTTTGCACTGGCCAGACTTACGAGAGGTCGAACATCCTCAAATGGTTCAGTTTAGGGCACTGCACTTGCCCTACGACCATGCAGGAGCTCTGGGATTTCACAGTCACCCCCAACAAGACCCTTCACCATCTCATCTGTTCTTGGTTCCTGCAGAAGCACCAGCAAGTGAGGAAGAAATCCCAGGATGTTTCTGGAAGGGCAATGGAGATTCTTGAAACCTTGAAGAAAGTCAAAGGCCAGTCAAGGCTCCAGTCCCTCACAGACCTCCATTTGGTTGTTTCATCTCACCCAACTGCTAGAAAGACTGTGGTTGATGAAGGTGGGGTCCCACTTCTTTCCTCATTGCTCGGCCCTTTCACCTCCCATGCTGTTGGTTCACAGGTTGCTGCCATTCTTGTTCATTTGAACCTGGACTCAGAATCAAGAAAGATTCTGATGGAACCTTCCAAGATTTCTTTGCTAGTGGACATGTTGAATGAAGGCTCTACAGAAACAAAGATCAACTGTGCCAGATTAGTCAAACTGGTAATGGAGGGAAGTGATTTCAGGGTGGAAATGGTGTCAAGTCACAGTCTTTTAGCTGCACTGATGAGGCTAGTGAGGGACAGACGGAACCCGTCCGTCCACTCCCACGGACTCCAACTCCTGGAACTGATTTGCTCGCACGAGCAAGTCAGAGCCCTAATCGTCAGGATCGGAGCGATTCCTCAACTGGTCGAATTGTTGCCGGGCATGAACACGGATTGCCTGGAACTTGCATTGTTGATCCTGGACATGCTATCATCCGTGCCCGAAGGGAGAGCGGGCTTGAAGGAGTGCCCGAACGGGATACGGACAATGGTGAGGCTGCTTATGATGGTTTCCGAGAGGTGCACGCAGCACGCGCTCTCCATCTTGTGGTCCGTGTGCATGGTGGGGCCCACGGAGTGCTCGTCCGTTGCGGTGGAGGCCGGGCTGCTGGGGAAGCTGCTGCTCGTTATACAGAGCGGGTGCAGCCCGGGATTAAAGCAGCAATCTTCTGAGCTTTTGAAGCTCTGCAGTTTGAATTACTCCGACACCGTTTTCATATCCAAGTGCCGGCTTAACCGGACGATACAATGAAGGAGGAGAGTGTTAATTTGGTTTGGGTAAGAAGAATTCAAACCCTTAGTACATAAAGTTTGAAGAGGAGGGTAAACAAAAATGTGGACAAAACTGCCCCTCCTCCTCCCTGTCCCTGTTAAAAGTTCAATGTTTATTATGATGGCAACACCATCAATATGGGCTTCCTGCAGAAAGTTTTGAATAAAATGGAGAAAGTGAATTGCCTATGCTCTTTAGACTCTAGCTATATAGGAAGCCATATTTTACATTGTATGCATTGTTTTAGGAGATTGCAATTACAATTGTAATTTGTTAACATGTTGCTTTCATCCTTGGTGATGCATGAACACATCCAAATTTCCCCATATGTAATATAATGATTGTATCTTATAAGTTATAAACAACCTTTATAAAAAAAACAAAGAAAAGTCTTAGAAGTTAGAACTACACAGAAAAAGTCTTTTATTTTGAGTTGTGAACAAGAATTATGTGTAACTTTATTGGTCTCATGTGTTAGCTTTCATTTTATTTTCTATAAGACTATAACTATACATGCTTTCAAAAAGAGGCATAGCTGGGAAGACATTGTTTAACTCGTTGATAAGAATTGTTGAACGAGAGACTCGAGTTTGATTCATGACAAAAGTTAGAACTTCACTTGTTGGACATGTTTGGGAATAACATTAGATATTAGTGTTAACATTTTGAAAAATCTATCTACGAACAACGTTTAGACGTTAACGTTTTCAAAGTTAATCTGTATCGTTAAAATTTTATCCAAAACGGTAACACTAATCGAAAACATTATTCCCCGACGTTATTCCAAGACGGATCCTTATATGCTTAGGGATGGGGTTTTCCATTAAAACAGACAAACCCCAAGTGGGAAGGGGGTGTGTGCTTTAAAAGAGAGAAAGACTGGTCTCACACTTTGGTCAGTTCTGAATTATTATTATTTTTTAAAAGAGAGAAATGGCTGACCTGACTATGAGTACATGCCTCTTCTGCTTTCTGTGTTTTTTTATATATTCGAAACAGGTGTGGATTCAGAAAAATAAGTGATCCCCCCTGCCCCCACTGCCCCTACCTTGATGAGCTGTATGGCCTGTATATTGATTCTCTCATGTTATTTTTTTTTAAATCTTCAAAATAGAAAGAAAAATGCGCCCACTCTTCTTTTTGAAACGTTTCAAAATAAAGAGTCTGTTTCGGAATAGCGTTAGAGATTAGGTTAGCGTTTTGGATAAAATTTTAACGGTGCAGATTACTTTGAAAGCGCTAACACTGGCCGTAGATAGCGTTTTCAAAACGCTAATCGCTAACGTTATTCCCAAACAAGGCCAAAGTTTTTTTTTTAAAAAATGAAATGATTGAGCGGTTATTAAATTTCTTTCTTATTCACTTATTAAAGTTGAGGATGCATTATTGTGGTATGATGAGATAATTAGGCAGGTTATTTTATATTTTTATCATTACACTTTTATACCACAAGGTTGCTTTCTCTTCATATGAATTTATTAAATCTGTTCTGAATTATTATTATTGTTATTATTATTATTATTGTATCATATCAAATTTTTTCGAATCTTATTAAATTTGTTTAAATATTTACGTAAACTATTCGAAGGGTTAAACTTTGTACACTTTGTTTTCTTATTTTTGTCACTCATTTAATAAAATAAAACAATCATGTTACCTCTAGTTTTGTATATCTTTTGATGTAGTTTTTTAATATATATTTTTTATTTTTTAATTTTATACCTAAATCAAATAAATTGAATTGAAAATAAAGTTGCTCAAAAATCATAATGCGGACTGGGAAGGTTCAAACGAGACGGAAGAAATAATAAGTAACAAAAATGAGAAGGTATATGGAACAACCGGATGTACGGTACACCTGGATAGTACTCATTCTGAAGTAGAGTAGTAGTCATTCTCACACGAATATAATTAGCGTGGTACTCATTCTAAAATAATGCAGTACTCATTTTCACACATTAGTTCAATATAATTATAATATTAATATACAAATAATGTAGTGTTCATTCTAAAACAAAACAGTACTCATTCTCAAAAAAATTAGTGTTCATTCTCATATAAAATAAAATTCATATTATAAATAATTTTTTGATTATACCCAAAATTGAGTACAACTGGATGTATGTATAATAGAATCTGCCAACAAAAGTAAGTCTAAGAGAACGTACTTTTAAGTGGTCAAATTATTACATGAATCATGGTAGAAGGGAAGACTAAGGAGCATATATTTTTGCATGTCGCAGGTAAAGTTAGTCAAAAGCCTTGCTTTGCGATGTGCATTGGTGTGTTACCTTTTACTGTGTTATTCAAAACTAAAAAAAGCAAAATGTGGGTTCTTTATTCAAACTAAAAAGGACATGCTACATTTACACCAACAAATATACCCCATTTTTACACCACAGGTTTGCACAAACATTTCGATGGTTTACACCGACACAAGTGTTGGTGCGTTAATAAAAATTCACACGGATACAAATGTTGGTGCGTTTAACAAAAATTAGTTTTACATCAACACAAAATGTTGGTACAAAACTGCGGGGTACAAATTGGGGTACAAATTTTGGGGTACACATAGCATAATCCAACTAAAAACCCAATTCAACTATGTGGATGTAGCAGCTAAGCTAGGTACCCATTATCCCATGAGAAGATCAAGTTTTGGTCTATGGAATGAGAATCTATTATCTATCCATCCCACCATCCGGTCAAATTTATAGGTGCACATTTGTGGGCTTTGGTTTCTAGATATTGACTTTAAGGGCAATGTTAGGGGACACCATATAATATATATGAAGTACTTCATTTGTACGTCGAGCTAACACAGACAAATACATACACATGATGTCCGTTCATGTACGGATATTATGTATCTGTATTAACTTAGTGTATAAATGAGGTACCATATATTGATTTACTCCTAGGTTGATTCTAACTTTAAAGTGCAGTGCGAGCAAAAATAGTAATCATAAGATCTCTACAAATATCATTTATAAATTCTATATTTTGTCAACCGATATATGATTATTTTAAAAAAGGAATGCCACCGGAACTTATTTTCTAGATCCGCAACTGGTACCCCTCCCATGTGTTTCTTCCTCTTCATCCCTTCATCTTCATGTTAACATGATCAAATCCTATATAATTCTATCTTCTCGACGTCTTTACCATATCTCCTAAATGTACTTACTCAAATATCTAATCTTTAAATCTCCAACTTTCTACATTCAACATTATATTGTTAAAGATGTATGTATATTGATAGGTGCACACTTGTGGGCTTTGGTTTCTAGATATTAACTTTAAGGACAATCTTAGGGAGTTAGGGTACATGAGGTATTTCATTTGTACACTGAGCTAATATAGATAAATACATACACATAATGTTTGTTCGTGTACATATACCATGTGTAAATTTTATATTTTGTCAGCCAATATATGATTATTTTAAAGAAGGAATGCCACTGTGCCTTATTTTTGTAGATCCGCAAGTGGTATCCCTGCCATGTGTTTCTTCATCTTCATCCCTTCATCTTCATGTTGACATGCCTAAATAGGGGTGGACACGGTACCGGTACAGTACCGGTACCGGAAACGGTACCGCCGGTTCCGGTACCGTTACCGTCGGCCGGTACGGTCCACCGGTTCCGAGAACCGGTACCGGTACCGCCCAATCCGGTACCGGTTCCGGTGCCCATTTTTCGGTACCGGCACCGGCGGTTTCGGTTCCGGTACCGTTACCGTTTTTTTTTATTTTTATTTTTTTATTTCATTCTTTCCTTTATCAATTTCATTTTTAGATTTTTTTATTTCATCATTTCCTTTAACAATTACACATTTACAATTTTACATTTTAAAAATATAATAAAAAAGCAAAAAAAAAAACAAAATTAGGGGTGGCCGAAACGGTACCGGAACCGGCGGTACCGGAACCGGAACCGGTACCAAGGGGTGGCGGTACCGGAACCGGCGGTTCCGGAACCGGAACCGTCCCGGAACCGTACCGTGTCCACTCCTATGCCTAAATCCTACTCCCTCCGTTCCTTTAAACTCTTCCACTTTTGACTTCGGGTAAAAATAAGGAAAATGTAATTTTGGTTGACTTTCCAATTTTGCCCCTGATGTGATGGGTAAAAGTAAGATGTGATAGTTTGGTTATTAGAGAAAAAGTATGATGTGATAGGTAGGTATGAAAAAATAAGGGTAAAAGTGGTTTTTTAATAGAAAGTGGAAGTGTTTTAGGGAATTCAAAAAAAACGAAAGAGGAAGGGTTTTGTGGAACTGAAGGAGTATATAATTCTACTCCGTATCTTTCTTGACATCTTTACCATATCTCCTAAACGCACTTAATTGCTCAAATATCTAATCTTTAAATCTCTAACTTTCTACGTTCAATATTATATTGTACGTTAAAGATGCATGTATATTTATGTTTATCTCTTGGAGTTTAAATATAAAAACATAATTAACCATGTTGAATTTTTTTACCACAATCCGATAATGCCTTTTTCAAAAATAATACCCGGAGTAATAGAAAAAGTTTTTCACATAATAATAAGATTAAATTTTATAAATAGTCCCTAATTACAAGTTTTTTTATGTTTAGTCTCTCATTCCAAGATACGGATACGGAGTATTACATAAATGGTATTCAATTTTTTAAAACTATTCCATAATATCCTTTAGATCAAATAAAACAAATTATTTTTTTACATATAGTCTCCGAAGAGCCGAATATGGCACAATTTAAAAAAAATCGAAGATCATTTATATAATATCTTAAAATGTAGGATTAAATATGAATAACCAACTGTAATTAGAAATCATTTATAGAAATTACCCTATTAATATTATCAATAATAATAATAATAATAAATGTTATTTAAGTAGGTTTATTTTTTTCAAAATCAACGTTTTTTATTTTAACACGTACTACGTAAATGTTAATTAATGTGATTATTTGTCAAACAATATAATGGAGCAATTCAAGCGTAACGTTGTCGGTCTTCATAACACTATTGTTCTAACTTGTATCTCACCAAAGTGATCATCAAATCAAATGACTCAGTGTTTCAGAGAGCCAAAATTAATTTCCTAAAATAGGGTAATTTGCCTAAATAGAACTAAAACATAATCTATTAGTCATTATTTTTATTTTCCTAAATAGAAATAAAACATAATTTATTTAAAACATAATCTCAATATAGGACCATATGTTTTTATTTTCCAATTTGGACTATTGGTCATTATCTATTAGTCATTATTCAATTAAATGTCCAGTATCACTTGGACATCATCCTTCTCATTAGTCATTATTAAGTCCTATTTAAAAAATAAAAAAGTTTAAGTCTTACATTGAGAAATAACTTATGTTTTAGTCCTATTCAATGCAAATTATACTTCTTTTTCTAACTATCCAAAACGATCATCGTTTGAGTATTGGTTATTCTAGTTTGTGTAATCAACTATTATGGATAGTTGAATTTACTTAAAACTAGATGAAAATTTTATTAGACATTGAGAATGTGTGGAATGCAAACTCGTTAGGCCAAGTCATATTACAATTTTTTTAGCGAGGGTCATGATCCTCGGGCGGGCAGTGGCACGAGATTCAATGGATAGACATCCATAAACCAAATCCAAAATAAAGACAGTAAGTATTTGAATACTATTACGTACTCCATCCGTCCCGTTTTAAATCGTCTGTATTGACTTTTGGACATATTTAAGGAAAATTAAAAATAGAGTTGATTTTTTGAAATTGTCAATACTTTCTAGTATCTGAATACTCTTATTTGTTAACTATCTACAATCTAAATGTGCTTAGCATTCGAATGCTATAATCACAATTAGACTATTTTTAATGCTAAAAACCTCGTCGTTGTCTAAACTATTCGAATACTACATGAAGTCTGATGAAGAGTTGTGTTGGTTGTCACCAAGAGAGATGTCCGGTCAACTTCTCTTTACAAATATGAGTACTCATCGATAGGGCTGGACACGGTACCGGTTCGGTACCGTCACCGGAAACGGTACCGCCGGTACTGAGCACCGTAACGGCAACCGGGACGGTGAAACGGTTCCGAGAACCGGCACCGCCACATCCGGTCTCGGTTCCGGTGCCCCAAAATCGGTACCGGCGCCGGTTCCGGTACCGTTTTTTTTTTCTCCTTTTTGCTCTCCAACGGTT